TTTTATTCTTCTTTTTTGCTTTGTTTTTTTTTTCAATTAATTTGTTTTTTTTTCTTCTTCTTTTTTGCTTTGTTTTTTTTTTTCAATTAATTTGTTTTTTTATTTAATTTTATTTTTTAATATTATATTTTTTTTATTTAATTATCACGCTCTCATGACACGGATCCCAAGTTTGATGGGTTAACCTAGTCGTTTTAGATTTTTTTTTCTTTTTCTTAATTAGTTTCTTCTTCCAATTTTATCCTTTAATATTAATTTGATTGATAATCAAACTTCATGATTGATTTTATTTACTTTTCATTAGATTATCCTGATCCCATGACACATGAATAATGCTTAATAAATTAATCCAAGTTAACTCGGGTTGTTTTTTGTGTCTTTTTTTCTTTTAATTTTATCATTCAATATTGGATTAGTTAAGAATTGAGCTTTATAATCTATTTTGATTTTTTTTATAAAAATATCATGGTCTTAAGATCAAGGCCATGGGTTTTGACATTTTAATCTTTGTTAAATCATTTCATTTATTAAGGCCATGGGTTTTGACATTTTAATCTTTGTTAAATCAGGTCATTTTTTATTTTTTTTTCTAAAAGGTTATATTGGTTTTATTTGTCATTTTTTATTTTATTTTTTCTAAAAGGTTATATTGGTTTTATTACTTAAGTCACGAGTCCTTTGACAATAAACTTATTTTTTATTAGGTTGTCCGTGTTTCATAACTTGAGTCATGAGTTAACCTAATTGACTTATTTTTGCTCTTTTCTAATTGATTTTTTTTTCTCAATTTCATTAATTAATATTATGTTTAATTGGAAATTAGATTTTACGATTTGTTTTGGTTTTTTTTTCATTAGGTTATCATTGTCTCGTGACTTAGTAATAATGCTTAAAGGTTAACTTGGGTTAACCTGGCTTTAATTAAGATTTTTACAATTTTCATCATTCAACATTAGATCTGACAGAGACAATTGAGAGTTGAACTTTATAATTTGTTTTAACTTTCTCTTTACAGGACTATCTCAATCTCAAGATCAAAGTCGCAGATTTAATAGGTTAACCCGAGTTAAATCAAATTATTTTTTTCTATAATGTTATCTTAATTTGATGATTTGGGTCATGAGTTTGATGGATTGACTCACGTTATTTTTTAATTGATTTTTTTTAATATCATCCTTCAATATTGGACTAGTTAGATATTAAAATTTATAATTTGTTTTGATTTGTTTTTAATGGGATTATCTTGGTTTTATAACTAGGGTTGCAAGTTTGACATGTTAACCCTGATTTTTTAAGCTTTTTTTTAAATGATATTTTTAAATTTTATTATTTAATATTATGCTGATTGAGAATTAAACTTAATAATTTATTTTGATTTACTTTTTATAGGGTTATTATAGTCTCATAACTCGAGTAATGAATTTGACAAATGAATTTGAGACGTTAACTCGAGTTATCCAATATCAATTTAATATGTTATTATTTTAATATTAAAAAAAAATATTACCTTTAAATTTTGTTTTTTCAAGTTGTATGGTTCCTTTTAGAGTATTAAAATCAACCAAATTATATTAATTAAACTTTTATATAATTTATTTTTTTATTAAAAAACATTAACAATATTAAAAAAAAAACATTCAAGAAAATTTTAATCCAACCTACAGTATCCAAGGTTCAATCCTCTAGAATAAGTTGAAAATGTAACAACTACTTGGAGGGGGAAAAAACAAGGGAAAAAAAAGCACTTTGTTAGTTTCCTCCGCAAGCCACCGAGAATCCAGGATCTGCTGCTAAAGTGAAAAGAATACGGGAAATCAAGTTGATATTTGGACGGATAACGATGGCAGCACATCCACATGTCAGCCGTTGAATGTTATTCATAAGATAAGAGTAAAAAGGAAGAAAAAATCGCTCCACGATAAAAATCACAACATAAAAATAAAATAAAATAAGATAAGAAGGTACTCGAGAAAATAACTAGTGTAATAATAGTTATTTTTTATTTAAAAATATATTAAAATAATATTATTTTACTTTTAAAACAAACACATTAAAATAATCTAAACAGACTCTGAAATTTTGCCAGACCCAGGAAACGGAGCTAAAGCAACTCAGTGACACGGGGCTATTAAAATAAAAGAAAAAAAGAAAATGCAGCAAGCTTACAAGCACAGCAGAAAACAGCAGATATAAAACGACCTCGAAGTGCACCGCCATCTCGTCATCCTCAAAACACGAACAGAACCAAAACAGAAACCTCATAACCGTCCAATCAGAGATAAACGACGGAAGGTGTTATCTGCAGCGACGGCCACACACCTCAGCCCCTCACTCTCTCGTCTCCACGTGTCCTCGATAGCCCCATCCCCTCCCTCTCTTCGCTTTCATATTTATCTTCTCCTCTCGAACTGACCAACACGCATTCTCGTCGATAAAAAAAAAATACTCAGATTATATTACAAACCGGATTCGAACAAGTTTTTGAGAGAGAGAGAGAGATGGATCACGCTGCAGATGCTCACAGGACGGACCTGATGACCATAACGAGGTTCGTGTTGAACGAGCAGTCCAAATATCCTGAGTCGCGTGGTGATTTCTCTATTCTGCTAAATCACATTGTTCTTGGCTGCAAGTTTGTTTGCTCTGTCGTTAACAAGGTAGGTCCATGTCTGCGTTTGATTCCTTATTAACTAAATATGCAAGCATGGCTTCTTCCTTAATTACCCATCTTTGTTCGCCTAAGAATTGGAAATGAAATGAGAATTCTCTCTTATTCCACTTACTAAGCAATAACAACTGTCTGTAAATGGATTTGATTTTTAAATAAAAGTAAAATTTTTGTGTGTTATTTGGAAATAGAATCAGAATCCTCTTTCTATGCTATTTGCAATCCAGAGCAAACCAAAAGTGACAATTTTTTCTTTGAAGTTCAATGAAAATTCTAACTACCTAATCTTGGTGATTTCTTGGCCTGGGTTTGGTGCTCCGCGGAAGATGAAATGTTTTTCTCTTCGTTCAATTTTTAAATGCGAATCAATGTAGAATTTTAATCACGACTTTCAGTCGAGTTTCAAAAATAGAACTTCACTTAAAATAGTAATCTAGGTTATTGTCGTAAGTCGCCTGTGGTGGCTGAATATATTATCGAAGAAAAACTGAAAAGCCAACGAGGAAGCCAATTTATCTCCAATTTTTTACTTGTGCAGGCGGGTCTAGCCAAACTTATTGGACTTGCTGGGGAGACTAATGTTCAGGCAAGTTGTTGAGTGCCGGTTCCAAATTCCATGTTTTTTTCTTTTTGTTTCTTGTTAATGTTTTGAATGAGCTATTTGTTGTTATATAAATACAATGGTTAATTCGATTATATTTCTCTTTCTGGAAAAAGGGTGAAGAGCAAAAGAAACTTGATGTCCTTTCAAATGAAGTGTTCATCAAGGCTTTAGTAAGCAGTGGCCGAACAGTAAGTTACGGGGTAATCTATATGTTGATTTGAAATTAATTTGTTGGAATTTTGTTTAAGATTTTGGGTCTTGTGGTAGTGCATCCTTGTCTCAGAAGAAGATGAAGAAGCAACATTTGTGGAGCCTTCCAGGCGTGGAAGGTATCTGCTAGTGTTCTTGTCTGTTCACTATTTGTTATGGTTACAGCCTCCTCTGTTTTGGATTCTTCAGACTAACACATCGTATCGGTTTGATATTTGAGCAGGTACTGTGTTGTGTTTGATCCATTGGATGGATCCTCCAACATTGATTGTGGTGTTTCGATTGGAACGGTATGATCTCTCATTATGAAACATGACGTTGTTTTTTTTTTTATTTTAATTCAAATCCTTAACTGACATGATGAAGAGTGGCTGTTGTTCCAGAATAACTTGACATTGCAGTTATATATTGAATGCCTTCTCTTTCATCTAGATTTTTGGAATTTACATGGTGAAAGATGACCATGAACCAACTCTAGATGATGTGTTGCAACCTGGGAAAAATATGCTTGCAGCTGGCTATTGCATGTATGGAAGCTCTTGCACGGTATGATGGATCACCTCTCCTGTATTTAAATGACTGCATCTTTTTTTTTTTTTTGTGGTTTCGAATTATCAAGATGACAATTGTCAATCCCTTGACATCATCTTATTCATTTGAGAATGTCTTTTTATGTTTAATTTCAAATTTGACTTTTTTTATGGGGGCACGAAAATTGTGGTCCACGGTTCTTTGTCGGCCATCATGACTTGTACTTTGTTGTGTCATGCTCTGACTAATCAATATATGATTTGGCAGTTTGTTTTGAGCACTGGAACTGGTGTTAATGGTTTCACCCTGGATCCATCCCTTGGGGAGTTCATACTCACACACCCTGACATAAAGGTAAATTCAGTTTTCAGTGGTAAATTGTGGAATTGAAATCAGTTAAACTGCATGATTACACGTTGTAGTTAGTTTCACATAAAAGGAATTCAATCCATCCTCTTTAAGTGCAAGAACTGCGTGCTTTTCCATAGAACTGCAGTTAAGTAATGCTTGTGGTTTTTGACAGGCTTGAGGACTACCATATCTCTTCTTTTTAAATAGCAGAAAACTGCTATTTAAAAGTACATGTGCATGTCCAAGGATGCTTTTAATCTCTGTACATAAATTTTGAGTTTAATGTGGAGTATCTGATATTTGTTTCTCACATTTCTTTCTGGACAGATTCCAAAGAAAGGAAAGATTTATTCAGTGAATGAAGGAAATGTGAGGAACTGGGATGGTCCAACAGCCAAGTATGTGGTATTCTTTATGATAGTCCATTACTTTTTTAGTGATTATGATCTAAGGTTGTATTTTATGACTCTAGGTATGTTGAAAAATGCAAGTTTCCCCAGGATGGTTCCTCTGCAAAATCTCTAAGATACATTGGAAGGTATCCTTGATCCTCATTCTAGCAACTACAATTTTCTGGTTTTTTTAATCAACCACATTTGGTATGGGGATGTTTAAAAAACCCTTCTCATATGTAATATTTGCAATATCTGACCCAACTCAACTTGTTAAAATCAGATAATATGGATATTAAGGATGATAGTAAGTCAAAAAACCTAAGAAATAGATATCACGGGTTTGGTGAGTGCGGGTTGGGATTTTTATAACCCGACTCAACCTGTATAACTCAATGTAAGTACCTTGACTTCTTGGTATAAATAATATTTTCCCTTCTCTCTCATCAATTTTTCCTCTCTCATGTTCACCCTCACAATAGCCTCTTATTTTTTTAATCTCTTTCTCTTCTCTATATTCTTTACTTTCACAAAAATTATAGTTTTTTTTTGTTTAATTTGATGAAGTGACAATGCATTTCACAATTCCAATCTTTTCTATCTAGTAACCAAGAGACCATTAGAAAACAAATGAAAATTTCAAGAATCCATATGGAAATTTTATTTTCTTAATCAAATCACAAATCCAAAAGCACTTTTGTCTTTTTTTGCTAATCTGTTTTTGTATCATATTACACCTTAACTATTTGATAAAATGTTTTTGAATATGATTTTTATTTTGCTTTGTTTTTGTGTTGAAATTGTGATAGTTATTATGTTGTCCCTAATATATACATTCTAAGGGTCTTATCTAGTTTCAACAGATGCAACCCGATATTTTTTTTAGAATCGTTGAAGAATAAGTGAATTAATATGGACAATCTGTAATATTTACAAAACTTTTAGCCATACCCGATATATTTAACCTATTTGGGATAAAAAAATAATTGAATGAGTCGGGTTTATATTTTGTAAAACATTAGAAGTTGGGTTCAATACAATTATAGGCCAAAACCTGGACCCCATTATATCCATGAACACTCTTAATTAGTCGCAGTTACCTTTTGAGGACATCTACTTCCAACAAAGCAGTCTTAAAATTTAATGAAAATGAATAATGTGGCTTTATATGTTAGAAATCCTTTAGTCCACACCCCAGATCTGAATTTCATCCCATCGCAGTGCAATCAAAGTGTTAAGGAACAGGATTAAAAGGGCGGAAATATTGTAGTCGCTGTTGTTAAGTTAGGGGCTACTGCTCCAGCCTCCTTCAAACCATAGATTATTCACTGGGTTTCATTGAATCAAATATTCCAGTGTGATTATTTTCTGCATATACAAAACTTACAATATCCCTATCTTTTTTACATGTCTTTGCTGTCTTCAATTTGAGCTTCATAGTTTTTTATGACATTTCTGTATGATACTCAGCATGGTAGCTGATGTCCATCGCACGTTACTTTATGGGGGTATATTTATGTACCCTGCCGATAAAAAGAGCCCCAATGGGAAATTGCGGTATGTTATCGCACTCTTTGTGCTGGTATTTCTCCTAAATTTTTTGATTAAGCCTGCTAACATGCCCTTTTGTCTCTACTGGTTTTATTTCGGGACTCAATTGTGTGATTATATTTGCGCAAACTAGTGTTCTATATGAAGTCTTCCCGATGTCCTTTTTGATGGAACAAGCAGGAGGTCAGGCTTTTACTGGCAAGCAACGGGTATTAACTTCTTCATTGTTTTCGTTTTTGAGCTGTTTAACTACTTAGATTTATGAAAGCTTTGTATTAAAAGATGTGCTTCTACCCTTATTGTTATTATTTTTAAAAAAACGATGTGCTTCTACCCTTATTGTTATTACTTTTTTAAAAAAGATGTGCTTCTACCTAAAGTCATTGAGCTGTTTCCTTCCTTGTTTGCCCTGCCCTTGTATAAAGGTGCTATGAACCCTATCATGTAACGATTAATGCGATACGAAGGTTGTTTTCTGATCTCCTATAAGGTTATAGTGGTAGATTATAGTTGAAGCTCATGGCATTGGTAGTATATTAAGTGTATATGCAGTGACAAGATCCAAGTTAGTTTCTTCATGCGAGTAAATAGTATTTGAGCAGAAAGAAGGAATGACCAGTGTGCTTGAAGGGCTTTTTCTATAGCTAGTATCTGATGTGATCATTTACCTCGGCAGGCTCTGGACCTAGTTCCAACGAAGATACATGAGCGCTCTCCTATATTTCTTGGAAGCCATGATGAGGTTGAGGAAATCAAAGCACTCTATGCCGCTGAAGAGAAGAAAGCATAAACACCTATGCTGTGGCTCTGTTTGGTATGGCGCTTCACCACTCTGTGGTCAACGGCGCTACAATGTCAAAATTAGCGCAATGCCGAGCAGGGGTTGTTATTACCACTGTCTTATAGAACTAGTAAGACTTCTGTCTGTGGGCATCTGACCTCCTTGTAATCATCTATCTACTCATTAGATAACGTGTTTTCATGATTTTCTTCTGATGTGTTCATTGATGGGTTAAACAAACCATTTGGCTCATATTAGAATAATGAGAAAGGATGCATTACATGATTAATGCATGACCACGTCGAGAATCGTGAATTTTTCCATGCTGGCAAATATGGCACGCCCTTCTCCATTTCTTTAATGACCCTACAAAACTATAAAGATCTTTGGTATTTTCAAGCGCGCCCAAAACTAGAAAAAACCAAGAGAAACAGCCAACGTACTACCTCGCACGTGGCAAATCGAATGGTATTTTGTTTAAATCTATTTTTAACGAGCATAGATATACACGGTTTCCAGGTAGATGGGAATAGTAAAAATTCTCGCAATCGTATCTCTGTCTTCGCTTTTATTCCTCGTGAGGAACCCATCAACGCCCGCACGCACAAAATATTACACGCTCTTAATTACACCCGCCAAAAGACCTATCTATATCCCTTCCTAACGAACTTTTAATCACTACTCCACACTTTTTTTTTTTTTTTAAATAACGCATTATAAAAATAAATAACCTTACCCTGCACAATAAATGTAATATACCAAAAGAAAAGGAAAGGAAAAACTAACCAATAGAAAGAGTCCTTCTCAAGCGCCACTTGCTTTAAAATCCACTCACTCATACCAAAACCATAAAATTACACCCAAACAAATCCCTCCTCTGACATTTGCCTCAGGTTAAAAGCAAATAATCAGCATAACAGACCTGGTCTATTCCGAAATTGAAAACCGAAACCCCCCAAAACTCCCTTAATTTACGAAAATGTCAAGCGATAGCGACGATGACGACGAGCTTCTCCAGATGGCGTTAAAGGAACAAGCTCAACGCGATCTCAACTACCAGGGTCCGTCGTCGAATCAGCGCAAGCCGGTGGTCAATTTCGTCCAGCAACCGAGGCAACAGCCTCCACCGCAGAGGCCGGCTTCGACGACGAGCATGGCGAATCAGCCGCAGCAGCCGAAGAACAGGAGAGCGGTGGAGGAGGAGGATGATTCGGAGGTGGAAATGCTGAGCATATCGAGCGGAGATGAGGAGGTTAGTAAGGATCGTGGCGGGGAAGGAGGGGCGGCAGCGAGAGGGAGAGCTGGACATGGCAGCGGAGGGAGGGAGGAGGAGAGTGGGTGGGATGGAGAAGAGCCTGATTGTTGGAAAAGAGTTGATGAAGCTGAGGCATGCACAAAACTCTCTTCAATTTTTATCGATGTGTGTGTACATATATATATATATATATGTATTATAGGTGGGAATAATGATAGAAACCTCTGGTAATTATACAGTGTCGAGTTGATTTCTTTTGTTTTGGAGAATGATATATCAGGCATTACTGATGATTCAGGAAGAATCATGTGCAATTTAGTTTTAAATGGTTAGTTTATTGAAGGTACTGAAGTTGTGCTCTTATGACAGCTTTCTCGTAGGGTTCGTGACATGCGAGAGTCGAGAACTGCACCAGTGGCTCAAAAGTTTGAGCGGAAGCCTTCAGCATTGGCTAGAAAGGGGCTCAACACTCTGCAATCATTTCCCCGTGGCATGGAATGCATTGATCCACTTGGGTTAGGGTAAGCTTCTCATATGTATTTTTCATTGATAAGCAACGTTTTGAAGTTTCCGAGGCTTGATTTGGCTCATGGATTTTGCTAGTTGATATTATTTTGAGGATTTCAGCTTTCTAGACAATTGTGATAGCTTGAAGAAACAAGAATTTATGATATTTCAAAAGTGGAAGTGTTAATTGATTCTCTCTATAATCTAGAACCATAAAATGTGCTCCTATAGGAGACTGAAGTATATGTTTCCTTGATGTTCGCCTTTTAACATTACTTGTGGTAAGTGTTCACCTGAGTTTATTGTTTATTCACAGGATTATAGATAACAAATCTTTGAGGTTGATCGCTAATTCATCAGAAAGCTCTCCATCAAAGTCTGATAAAGATCATTTGGACAATAACCTTCGTGGTATTTCTCCACCCCCTTGCATTTTCCCTCCATTCAACGTAGTTAACTATTAGTTTCATTTCATATAATTACACATCATTGCACTCAATAAAATACATTTCTGAATTGCCAAATAATTTTTTTCTTCCTCATTCTGGTATCATGCGATATCATCAAGAGCCAAATACTAGTTAATTTAGAGCAAAACCATTAAGTCTGCATATCACTAGCATGCTCTTGTGTGTAATGCCATAAGAGATATCCATAAATCCTTGTTAATTTAGGAGTATTCACTCGTCAAAACTAACAATCATAAGAGCTTTATTTAAATTCGGCTCTGATCTTCATGTTTTTCATCTGTCAGCAATAGATAAATGAAATGACATTCTCAAAACCATGAGAGAAGTGGCAAGATCCTAAGATCCTTAGGAGTTTCGTTGATAGAATTTATCCTTTAGCAATGGTACTCCGATTGAATTAATCCATTGGGGGTATTAGCCGCCTGCTTTTTGACTCTTGATTGCACAGAAGTCAACACTGTTGCCATAAGTTGTGAATATGAGAAGATAGGATTAATTCACAAGGAAGAAATAGTTGTCTTCTTTAGGAAGCTACTTATATTGGTGGTTATTATGGCGGACTACAATTTTTAATGTTTATATATGCAGAGAAGCTGTTGTATTTCTCTGAAAATTTTGACTCAAAGCTATTCCTATCCCGAATACATCAAGATACAAGTGCAGCAGAGTTGGAGGCTGGTGCGCTTGCTTTAAAAACTGATCTCAAAGGACGGACTCAACAGAGAAAGCAGTTGGTTAAAGACAATTTTGACTGCTTTGTCTCTTGCAAGACTACAATTGATGGTATGCAGTCATCATGTCACTTGGCTTGCTAGATTTACTCGTTAACTGTGGCAAGTGAGCTGGAGATTTGGATTACACACAGCTTTCATTGGGCATGGTTTTTGCTATGCAAGGCTTAATGGAATCACACCCAGTAGTTATATGCTTAGTGCTGTATTGATCTTGATGTTGGAACTAATTATTCATTTACAGACATAGAATCAAAACTGAGACGGATTGAACAAGATCCTGAAGGTTCTGGAACTTCTCACCTGTTTAACTGCATGCAAGGAGTAAGCTTGCTGGCCAATCGTGCTTTTGAGCCTCTATTTGAGAGACAGGTTTGTGGGAAATAACATTTTATATCTTGTTTGAAGTTGATACCTTTTTATGCATCAAAGGTCACTTAGCTCATTTTGTTTCTGAAACTAGGCCCAAACTGAGAAGATAAGATCCGTGCAAGGAATGCTTCAGAGATTCCGAACACTGTTTAACTTGCCTAGTACAATTCGTGGGAGCATTGGTAAGGGCAAATATGACTTGGCGGTTAGGGAATACAAGAAGGCGAAGTCAATTGCTCTACCCTCTCACGTATGCAAGAATCAAGAGTTAATTTACTGTCATATTGTTTGGTTGAGGCAGATGCATCAAAGTATAATCTTTAGGTTTTAAGGATTTTATTGTTGAACTTTGCCCATACATGCTTATTTTTCTTCTGATCTGTGCTAATGCTGAGGCTTTACTGTCAAGACTTTTTGTTATGGAGCATGCTCTACCATTTTATGTCTAATTTGAAATTCCTTAACCTCAGTTGTTGTAGATGCAGTGATCATCATAAAAATGACTTTTCTGCATTCCTCTGGCAATTGCCAGTCATGGATGGTCTTTTCCATGGTCTTTCCCATTTGGTATGGTAGAGCATAGTCAGCCCCAGCCAGTCTTCTTGTGGCATTTCTGTCCAAACTTGCTTTGTATGAACTACCTAGCAAAATCAGGAAATTTTGGTCATCATTGTGATGCATGCTAATTTTGAATGAAAATCCATGGGTTTATTTGATTCCATTTATAAACTGTAAGAAATATCTGATATCGGAGTGCGTTGGCCTTATTGTTGGAAGGTTATTCTTCAAGTGGGATAGGGTCTATAAGGTTGAGCCTTTTTTGGGTGAGAAAATGAAATGAATATGGTGAGACTGTTCTTGACATCCATGTTTAAACATGAAATGTCCTCTCCTTTTTGCCTTGTGATTTCCCATATCAATGACAGTACCTCACTCCATAATATCTAAATCTGTCCTTATGTACTACTTTGCATCATCAAAAAGCTTAGATACAGCTAAGTCCCACAGCATGTGTTTTTTGGCAGAACATATTTAAAACAATGTCTAAATTTCCCGGTTCTTTTGGATCAGTTGCAGAACACTATTCTTTTCCGAACTTTTTTTTTCTTACAGATGCATACTTACTGTTTTATGTCAATTTCAGGTAAACGTACTAAAACGTGTTCTTGAAGAGGTTGAAAAGGTGGTAAATGAGTTCAAAGGCACGCTTTACAAGTCTATGGAAGATCCACAAATAGATCTTACAAATGTAAGGTTACTAATTTTACACTGCAAAGTCAATTTCTGTACAGGAAATTACAAAATCAACAATGATCTAAGGCTTTGTTTTTCCTAGTTTTTTGAGACTGTAATGTGTTAATAGGGATTACCCACTAATATAAACATTCTCATGTTAATGTATAAGATAATAGTTGGTTTGTTTTTGTCTCTCTCTGAGTGGAAGAAAAAAAATAACTATATTTTGGAATGGTTTGTTTGCTTTTGTGCCTCACTGTGATTGGAGAAAAACAATCATATGTTGGAAAAACCATTGTGCAATAGAATGTTACATTATAATCTTGTACATGATGACATTCACACCCTTGACCACTAAGCTTACAGACTTCTGTAGTTGTTCAATAGAAGTGCAGTTAAGTGAAACAATTCAAGTGGACATGTTGCCTTAGCTTCCGATACCACTGTACTTGGTGGGTTATGGTTGGTATGGCTGGTGCAGTTATGCGTAAGCAGTAAACAGATCATGCAGTGTCTGAGTGGAACATCTCGTCTGTATGAAATTAATTGTTCCCATTTTTTATTTTTTTTGTCGTGTCTACTAAAGTATTTGTCCTGTTTATTTAGCTTGAGAACACAGTGAGACTGTTGTTGGAGCTGGACCCTGATTCGGATCCTGTGTGGCATTATTTTAATGTGCAGGTCAGTGAATTCATAAACTAATCTTAATAAG